AAGTTACTGCTGCAGACAGGAACTGCATCTGTCACAACTCCTGAAAGAATTCATGAAAGAATAATTCAGGACCCTTGTTGAAAACAGTAGGATTGACTATTTGGGGGTACTGCAGTGTGTGTGGAGCAGAGGAAAGAGATCAGTTCAACCCCAACTTCAACAAGGACAAGCGGGGATTTACAACCAAGGAATTGGGTGGGGTTCATGGATGGAAAATCACTAAGACAAAACCCAAAGGCTAAGGGGTTTCTTGCTAGACCCATGCCTTGGATTCTTTCATGAGATGGTCAGCCAGCTGAGGCCACAAGAGGAGAGGGAAGGGAGGCTTGGGGGAAATGCAGTTGTTTATATCATTGGTCCCAGAGAGACAGGGATTAGGGTAAGGTCACAGAGCTCAGACTCAGTTAAGCAGGGGAAGCAGAGAGCCACTGGGGCAAGTGCTTTCCTGGGGTCAGGGTGGGTACACAGGAAAGGTGCAGGGCGTGTCACTGGGGTCACAGTGGGAGGGTAGGAAGGGGAACCTGTGGCTGAGCCCACTTACATACGGGTGCACCTGGGCTGGCGCTCACATGTTTTGTTTGTGGGGACATTGAAGCTGCAGAAACATAGGAAGCTTTAAAGATTATAATACTCATCAGGATTCTTGCTGAAGGCAGGGCAGGTGCTCAGATATCAATGTTGGGCATCATGAGTTTGCTCAGATATCAAGGGTGGGAGAATTCCTCGACTAACCAGGCTGACACAGCCCACCGTCACCAGTCCCTCTTCCCTCTTTCCTCCATTTCTGGGGCTGACTTGGGAAGCAGGCAGACAGACCACCAGCCACTGCTAGCCCACCACTGCCCTGAGTGGAACTGGAAGGAGCGAGGAGGGCTCTCAACCCAGGCAGCACTGAGCAAGGCCGGGACACACCCTCTCGCAGTGGTGGGGGACAAGCCCACGTTGGTTCAGAGCAGCTGCTGGAAGCAACGGGGTAACACCTGTGTCCGAGGGTACCACAATCTGCTCAGACTTGGGCTCAGACCTGCGGGACTCATGCAGGGGGAACAGAGGTGCCCTCACTCTTTCACACAGGACAGATGTGTTGGCCCAGCCTCACAGTGTCAGGATCAGAGGACACAGAACAGAATAGAGCAATGCTATGGGTAATGCCCCCAGATTCAATAATGGGACTAAAGCCAGAAGCAGGTTCTCTGCCTTTGCCCCATCTCAGGAGAAGCACATACTAGCTTCACACAAAGAATCTGTCCATGTTAGTTAGCCAAGTGTCATGGACTAGGTGGAGAACGTTTTTATTTATTTGTGAGATACTCCTAAAGGAGGGAGCTGCTCACAATTCAGACACTCACTGTGCAGTGGGTGATGCTAGTGGTAAAGAACCCCTCTGCCAATGCAGGAGACATAAGACACGTGGGTTCGATCCCTGGGTTGGGAAGATCCCCTGGAGGAGGGCACGGCAACCCACTCCAGTGTTCTTGCCTGGAGAATCCCGTGGACAGAGGAGCCTGGCGGCCACAGTTCATAGGGTCACAAAGAGTTGACACGACTGAAGCAACTTAGCATGAAGCACACACTACTTGAAGATAGAAGGGCTAGTTTGAAGATGAAATTATAATGAAAGGTGGTAAATTGGCTTCAGGGTTCATGGGCTCATCTGCCACAGTAAATGGCATCAGGGAGAAGCCAGTGCCCCATTTCTTCTTGCCTGATCAGCAGCACCCCAATGAGTAACTGCCTCAGAACTTTTCAACTCCTGTGCTGACTTGGGTCATAATTCAGGGGAAGGGCTGGCAAGATACTCCAGCCCTTTCCACCCAATGCAGAGTTTTGTCTCAGTACCTGCTGAGATTTGAGGTTAAAAGAAGAAACCCAATAAGGACAACCTCAAGTTCTACAGATCACTGTTCAAACTGTGGTTTCCAACCCTAGGAGAACCAATACTTTGTAACAGCGGTCCTCAACCTTTTGGTTAGGGGAGTGGTTCGGGCAGTAATTCAAACCCTGGGGAGCGGCAGATGAAGCTTTGCTGCTCACCTCCTGCTGCGCTTCCTGGGTCCTAACAGACCAAGGACTGGCGGGGGGTTGGGGACCCCTGCTTTATAATGTACATATTGTGATGCTGCCATTACTGTCCTGAAATAAAATTCAAAGATAACAGTATACCTACTGAGGTAATTTTAAAAGATCAACAGAATGGCCTAACTGTAATAGAACAAAGACATCAAAGTAATATACATGTGGTATCATAGAATGTGTTTCAGTATGTGATTGCAGAGCACAGGTGATGAGGAGGCGTTGTTAACTTGGCAGACGCTTGGGCCCATCCACAGAATCACTAAATGTAACACTGCAGATGCCGTGGATGTTGGAGGGACAGCAACTCAAAACAGCAGCAACAGGCTGACATTTTAGAAGTGGGGATCAGAGCTTCTGAAAGATTAAGCAGAAAAGAATGTGTGTATAATTCCACCAACGTATACAATAGTTGCAGTCTTGGGAAAGTCAGTATGTATTAAACCATACCCTTGCAAAACCCTCTGGGTCATATTAAAATGCAGTTAAGTCCTAAGTTCAGATGATCACAAACAAGTTCTTTCTCTTAGATAAATGCTCAGCAGACACTCAGAAGTCAAGCAGACTCGGGAGAATTCGTCCCACTCAGAACATTATTTGTACATGTCAGGAGCCCAGCACCCCCCTACCCACCGCCCCCCAGCAGCATCCCCCAGCGCTGAGAACTCAAACTGCCACCATCCATCTTCAAAATGCCAGCTCCTGGGTGGTGTTGCCCTTGTCCAGAAAGATGGCTTGGAGTTTACCAGGAGGAAATGGGGGAGGGAAGGCGGGGGAGTTGTGAGTTTGTTACTAAGGCATGAGCATGCCCTAGGGCTCCCATCCTTGGTTGTTGGTGGAAAATGTAACAGCAGCTCAGGAGGAGGAGATGAGCACTAAATCAGCACCTCCTAGGATTTAGGTCTGGAAGCAGGGGCCCAGCCAGGCCTGAGATCGCGCTGAAAGGAAAAGGCAGAGCCTGAGCTCTGAGGCTTTCCTGCACGGGTCACGCTGAGTACCTCATTTATGCAGCACCTCTTTATTGTCCTACATGAGCCAGATGCTGGGGATACCGTCCTGTCCTCAAGTAGGTCTCTGTTTTAGAGGGGAAGGGTATCACATGATTACCCTCCAGTCCAGTGGGGCCACGATGGAGAACCACGTGTGGGCTGGAGCCTGCTGACGAGGAAACTTCCGGGAGAGATCACAGCAAGATAGGCCTCCTAGGGTGCAAGGAGTTAACAGGCTAAAGCCTAGGGAGCCATCGTGGGTAGGGGAGAAGGACTCGTCCTCAGGCTGCAAGGCAGAGGCTGTTATTACAGAGCTGGGAGCTGAGAGCCAAGAGGATGCGTGAGGCCAGGATGGAGCGAGGGTGGCATGACCAGTGTTCCGCCATGTAGCCCTTGAGGTGGGTTCTCCGGCTGCACAGAGCTCCTCGCCAGCACCATCCCTTCAAAAAGCACCCGTGCTATATTTGATAGTACATTGTTCGTGTGTCTGTCTCTCCTCAAAGCTGTGGATCTGGGGCTGGTGTAGACGTTCCTGTTCTAGCACACAGGAGGTCCTCCACGAATGTTTATTGATGAATCTGTGCATCATCCAGGGCTGGGGAGACTTCTGCTTCTCCCTGTAGGGCTGAGAAAGAAGACAGCAGAAATGTTATCATGTCCTGCAGGCCCTTCCCCAACATTTAACTTTGTACCTTGTGACGCCCTTCATCTTGTACCTTCAGGATGTCGTCGAGGAGCAGGACTCTTCCACACAGAAGGGGCAGGTGCCCTGGCCGGTCTAACAAGGCCAGTCTAGACTGCTTCCCAGGAATTGTTCTCCCCAGTTCATTGTGTATCGAAGTGCAATAGAAGTGGGCAAATCGACTGAGACACAGCACATCGGTGGTTGCTAGTGGCAGGGCAGAGGGAGGGCTGGGAAGTGACCACCAATAGGTATAGAGGTTCCTTGTAGGGCAGGTGAAAGTGCTTTGGGACCAAATAGCAGTGATAGTTGTACATGTAGTAAAAGCCGCTGAAAGGTCTGCTTTAAAATGGTTAAAATGGTGAATTGTATGTTATGCCTGCATGTGTGCTAAGTCGCTTCAGTTGTGTCTGACTCTTTGTGACCCTATGGACTGTAGCCCACCAGGCTTCTCTGCCCCTGGGATTCTCCAAGCAAGAATACTGGAGTGGGTTGCCATGTCCTTCTCCAGGGGATCTTCCCCACCCAGGGTTCAGACCTGCATCTCTTATGTCTCCTGCATTGGCAGCAGGTTCTTTACCACTAGTGCCACCTGGGGAGCCTATATTATGTCTATTTTACATTAAAAAATGTTAATGCAGTGGGGACAGAACAAGAAGTATCTACCACATGAGTAGAAATTGCAGACCTCCTAGAGTACAGACTTCCAGTTAGAAGTTAAATAAACCTTGGGGCTGTAATGCACGGCCATTTGACTAGAGTTAATAATACTCTCCTGCACATTCGAAAGTTGATGAGACTAGATCTTTAATATTCTCATCACAAGAAAAAAATATTTTTACTGTGGGTAGTGATGGATGTTAACTCGACTTACGATGATGATCATTTCACAATAGATACAAACATCAAATCATTTACATTGATTTGAAACTAATGTTACAAGTTACTTTTACCTCCACTTTTTTTTTTTTTAGAGGCAAAGAAAACTCACAGACCAAAAGGATGCATTGGGGGTCTTTTGTTTGTTTGGGGGGCTGTTTATGTTTTTGTTTATCTTCTGCCCTCGCTGCGCAGCTTGCAGGATCTTAGTCCTCCGACCAGGGATCGAACCTGGACAGGGAGTCCTAACCACTGGACCCTCAGGGAAGTCCCAAGTAGCAGGGCAATCAGCCCTTGAACCGTGGCAATCAGTCTGTGCGTTTTGCTCAGGGCCTGCTCTTCTCCCTGACTCAGGGCCCCGTTTCGTCTCTATTCAGGACACGCACCGAGGACTCTTCATCCAGCAGCTGCGACCCACACAGAACCTGCAGCCGAGAATCAAGCTGAAGCTGTTCGGCCACTCGGGGTCTGGGAAGACCACTCTGGTGGAATCTCTCAAGTGCGGGCTGCTGAGGAGTTTCTTCCGAAGACGCCGGCCCCGGCTCTCCTCCACCAACTCTGCCCGGTTCCCACCCTCGCCCCTGGCCTCCAAGCCGGCAGGTATGCGTGCACCCCACCAGCCCTTGTCTCTCCACTGGGTGCTTCCAAAGTCAAAGCCGGCGGGGGGGGGGGGGGGGGGGTGGCTTTGTTTTGAGCACGTGGCCCGAAGCTGACCGACTCCTGCCGTCCTGGTGGCTTCAAGGTGTGGGCCCCTGGCTCTTGGCCCCGTGTCCACCTCACTCTTGGATGGCAAATACACCCTGCCCCCGGGCTAGCAAGGAAGGGCCTCACTGAACTCACAGTCCACAGTCACAGACGCGCAAAATAGCACAACCGCGTCGTATTCTGCTCAGGGACTCTGCCCTTGAAGACGCAAAGAACTGGGGCTGATACAAATTCAAGGCCGCACAGATGGGATACCGGCTCCCAGGACGGGTCTTCACCGCTAACACTCTCTCCTTGGAATGCTGTGCACACATCCAGGAATGTGAGAACACAGAGCAACAAATCTGGGTGCATGGGGAGACCCATCCACGTGTATCTGGAAGTGGGGTGGTGGTTTTGAAATTTTCCTTAATGGTTTTTCAATTGGTCCATCTGCTCACCTGGACCCTGGTTGCAAAGCAGATGTTGCCATCTATCCCCACCTCCCACAGACACAATTATCAGTGGGTCCACACCCAGAACTGCAGGGTGACCTGTCCCTCCCAGGGAGAAACACCTGAGATGACCAAGAGGAAGCTGAACAGTCTGGGGTGTTGTTTTTCCTGACTCCCCCCACCCCTTAAGGGAATTAAGTTTTTCAAAGATAGGAATATAGACCTTCAGAGACTTTCTAAACAATGTCACTTTTGAAGCTCTGTGCCCCAGATTCACTTTTTGTACATAATACAAAGGTGTCATATCTGTTACCTAGAATGAAAACAGGTGTTTCAAAGTTTTGCTTCTGTGTAATTTCTCTCTCCATAAGGAAGGAGGTCTGGGCAGCATTAATACGGTGAGGGACCATTGACTGAGATCTTCATGCCCCTTTCAACTTTTTCCCTCTGAGCACAGCAATAGGATTGAAACGAGGGGAAGAAGTACAGCCAAAATGGACACATAATTAGAATGATTATAATATTGCTAACACATACTGCTAATGCAAACTGAGCCCTGACCGTGTGCCAGGAACTAGGCAAAATGTGGTACGTTTGACACCTCATTTAACCCACGTGAAAGCTTTATTGGCAGCTTTGCCAGCCTTTTACTGAAGCCTTGCGGGGTCAGATACATGCCTAGAGTCACACAGCCGGCAGTTCATGAAGTGTCTGGCTCCGGAGCCAGGGCTCATTAATGACGCTTATAACTCCATCTGACTTGGGGCATATTTGTGCTCACATTTTCCATTTTCCACCGTAATTTTGCTCAATTTCAGGATGTAAGATAGGTTTATACCTTCTCAGAAGCCACTAGCTTTCCGGATTTAACCATTAAGTTCAGCCTCTGTGTGTGGACGCTGCCAACCTTTGCTTGTTTCCAAGTGAGCTTCTCCAGCAGTTCCTGGTGTCGCCCCTAGAGGGAGCCAATTCTCACCTGCTGTGGGTAAGGTCACCCCAGGCTCAAGGACTTGAGGCTGGGAAGTGCAGCCAGAGGGAGGCAGAGAGAAACAAAGAGATGAGATCTATACAGATCCGTGATCTGGAATTTTCATTAGCCATATTAGATATGAATTTATGCTGCAGGGGGCTTCCCTTGTGGCTTAGCTGGTAAAGAATCTACCTGCAATGCTGGAGACCTGGGTTCAATTCCTAGATTGGAAAGATTTCCTGGAAAGGGGAACAGCTGCCTGCTCCAGTATTCTGGCCTGGTGAATTCCATGGACTTTACAGTTCATGGGGTCGAAAAGAGTTGGACACGACTGAGCGACTTTCACACTTCACCTACGCTGCAGTAGCGCTTGGGCACACTTCAGGTGACACACAGGCTCTCCAGGAGGGAGAACAGCTCTGTCCTCACTTCTCAGAAGTCGGATCTCCATTCTTCTTCCTCTGATCAGTTCCCATGTCTGGAAGAATCCAGAAGTAGATTCTTGATAAAACAAAGCTCAGGATGGCTAAAGTGAAAGAAAGAGTTGTCGCTCAGTCATATCTGACTCTTTGCGACCCATGGACTGTAGCCTGCCAGGCTCCTCTGCCCATGGGATTCTGCAGGCAAGAATACTGGAGTGGGTTGCCATTTCCTTCTCCAGGGGATCTTCCTGACCCAGGGATCAAACCAGGTCTCCTGCATTGCAGGCAGATTCTTTACCATCTGAGCCACCAGGGAGGCCCCTCAGGATGACTAGATTATCGGCAAATCTCACTGCATCTTCCAGCCAGGGCTTAGAGAGATGTGAGTCACGCGGCTGAGTGACAAGATTCTCTCAAGGACGACAGGTGCTCTGGACCAGAAGAGTGTCCCTGACTGTGAAAAGTAACTCGGGGTGCAGGGATGTAAGGTCAGAGGTCAGCAGCCTGGTAAGCTGCAGCATTTTGTGTAGTATGAGGAAGGGGAAGGAGAAAAGTTGAATTAACTTCCAGAGTTTGCAAATCAAGACACCTCACCTTAAAAGTTGGATATTTATTTGGTTTCTTGTAAAAAATAAAATTGGGAGCTCTGGCCACGCTGGATTCACATTTCTACCTGGAGCCAGTTAGTGGCTGGGGTGAGGGGCGTAGCACCATATCGAGGGGCCCAGGCTCTGCATTTTGCCCTGCCCCCACCCAGCCCCCTAACCCCGGGACGGAGAGCTCAGGAGTAGACTCCCCACATCTGTGTCTGAAATTTTTCCCTGTGACAGAAATGACATTTCAGCAGTGCACTGGTGTGTGTGACCCTTGGGCTAAGGTCACTCCTAGTTATCCCAAATCTGTCTGACCAAGGCCAGGCAGCCTCCAGGAGGGCCTGGGCAAGGACAGAAGAGGCTCACCCAGCTTCGTGCCCAGGTGGCTGGTCTGCTCTGAGGGTGGCTGAAGTGTCTATATGGACAGTTCCTGGAGGTGACAAGATTGACTCACAGCTAATTCTAGTCCTGCTGAGGCTGATTCACTCGCAGCTAATTCTAGTCCTGCTGAGGCTGATAAGAGCTGGGAGGCTGTGTTTCTGCAGGAGGCTCCTTCTCCGGCCCTGCCCAGTGCCGGGCCAGAAGGCCCCCGGCTGCAGACTGCAGGCAGGAGGCGGCAGCACATGAAGCCAGGACGCCCGCAGCCCCAGACCAGGCAGCCTAACAGTCACTTTCTGACCCTCACAAAGCAGAAGGGGGTCCTCAGGAAAACGGAGCATGGCACAGATAAGCACCAGGAGGGCCGCCTGGGGGGACCCGGCTGGGGGAGGGCGGCAGGCTCTGGGGGCCTTGGGTACCGTAGGAGAAGGGACCGGGCAGCGTTTCTCTGTAAGGCATGAGGAAAGGCTGCTCTGGAGCATAGTCTTCAGCGCAGGAGGTCTGCTGCAGCCAGGCTCAGCTGTGCCCCAGCTCTAGACACCCCTGACTTCTGCTAGAATGGTCAGGCCTTCCTCCTTTCCCCGGGAGAGGTGCCTGCGTGAGCACGTTTACATCCCTCAGGCGGCAGGAAGGTTCTGGGCTTTTAGAAACTTGCCTTTTGCGCTGTGCTGGAGCTAGAGGCTGAGCTACCAGCCAGGAGACAGGATAGCATGGCATGCGGGACCTGGTGCAGCCGCTCACGGCACATGGCTGCCGCACACGCTCCCTTTGTGCTATAGCTGTGGAACTGTGATTCTGCGGTAGGAAGGAAACGCCTGGTGTCCGCAGGGAAGTGAATGCCCAGAAAGAGCCCTGAGGAGGCTGCTGCCTGCTTATCAGAGAGCAGTGTTTGCAGGAAGTCTCTTCTGACCTAGGTGCAAAAGTGGCTTCTCCATCGGGGCCTTCCACTTTTTACCACTGGAGGTCAGTTCAGTCGCTCAGTCGTGTGCGACCCCAAGAATCGCAGCATGCCAGGCCTCCCTGTCCATCACCAACTCCCGGAGCTTACTCAAACTCATGTCCATCAAGTCGGTGATGCCATCCAGCCATCTCATCCTCTGTCATCCCCTTCTCCTCCTGCCCCCAACCCCTCCCAGCATCAGGGTCTTTTCCAATGAGTCAACTCTTCACATGAGGTGGCCAAAGTACTGGAGTTTCAGCTTCAGCATCAGTCCTTCCAATGAACACCCAGGACTGATCTCCTTTAGGATGGACTAGTTGGATCTCCTGGCAGTCCAAGGGACTCTCAAGAGTCTTCTCCAACACCACAGTTCAAAAGCATCAATTCTTTGGCGCTCAGCCTTCTTTATAGTCCAATGCTCATATCCATACATGACCACTGGAAAAACCATAGCCTTGAATAGACGGACCTTTGTTGGCAAAGTAATGTCTCTGCTTTTTAATATGCCATCTAGGTTGGTCATAACTTTCCTTTCAAGGAGTAAGCGTCTTTTAACTTCATGACTGCAGTCACCATCTGCAGTGATTTTGGAGCCCAAAAAAATAAAGTCTGACATTATTTCCACTGTTTCCCCATCTATTTCCCATGAAGTGATGGGACCAGATGCCATGATCTTAGTTTTCTGAAAGTTGAGCTTTAAGCCAGCTTTTTCACTTTCCTCTTTCACTTTCATCAAGAGGCTTTTCAGTTCCTCTTCACTTTCTGCCATAAGGGTGGTGTCATCTGCATTTCTGAGGTTATTGATATTTCTCCCAACAATCTTGATCCCAGCTTGTGCTTCTTCCAGCCCAGCGTTTCTCATGATGTACTCTGCATATAAGTTAAATAAGCAGGGTAACAATATACAGCCTTGATGTACTCCTTTTCCTATTTGGAACCAGTCTGTTGTTCCATGTCCGGTTCTAACTTGCTTCCTGACCTGCATACAGGTTTCTCAAGAGGCAGGTCAAGTGGTCTGGTATTCCCATCTCTTTCAGAATTTTCCGCAGTTTATTGTGATCCCACAGCCAAAGGCTTTGGCATAGTCAATAAAGCAGAAATAGATGTTTTTCTGGAACTCCCTTGCTTTTTCGATGATCCAGCGGATGTTGGCAATTTGATCTCTAGTTCCTCTGCCTTTTGTAAAACCAGCTTGAACATCTGGATGTTTATGGTTCATATATTGCTGAAGCCTGGCTTGGAGAATTTTGAGCATTACTTTACTAGCATGTGAGATGAGTGCATTTGTGCGGTAGTTTGAGCATTCTTTAGGATTGCCTTTCTTTGGGATTGGAATGAAAACTGACCTTTTCCAGTCCTGTGGCCACTGCTGAGTTTCCCAAATTTGCCACTAGAGGTCAGTGGTTAGCAAAAATGCTTTCCTCATGATTTTATTGTTTCCCTGTAAAATTGTTCTTTAATAATACCATATGCAAACAATGTCCTGATTTTCATCCTCCCAACAAAAACCGTCAGTGAGGTGCAGGAGTGCCTGTCATTTACCAAATCTGGTCTGCTCTTCCTCGGCAAGCCCACAGTGCTACTAAGACAAAACTTATTCCTAACAGTGGCCGTGCCAGACACAGGTTTTGGAGCACAGGAAAATAGACACACCCATTCTTATGGAAGTCACATGGCTTTTCTCAGACTTGGACTAACAATCTCTAAAGAAATACACTAAACTATCTCGTTGGCCTAGAGTGCTGGCCTTTAACCTTTCTGTTTGCCAGCAGTTTCTTCCTTTTATACCAGGGCTGGGGGAAGATTGTGGGGCAGAGAACATATATATGAATAGTTCTTTCCATCTTATTGCCCCTTCTTCCGCCCTTGTACCTGACCCAGCCTTTGAGCTCCAATTTTATCCTCCTCCCCCACAACCTCTTGAAAATTCCTATTGTCTATGTCCTCCATCTGAAATGTTTGGTCTTTCAACAAGGGTTGTCTTTGTGTTTGGATCACCGGTTTTAAAAGTCAAGTGACCCAGGTGTGATGACCTTGCCGTGTCTGTCACTGTTAACTCTGAACCAAAGGTACTGACTGTATAGTATGATTTAGTTCACTGAGCCCCGCCCTAATGCACTCTCAGAGCCCCCAGATGCACCCACCCAAGTCCTAGCCTTCACCATACCGCTGGAGGTCTATTGGAGAGACAAGCAAGCCAACAGGAAGTCAGGACTGAGGACAGGGCTCTGCCCATAGCCCTGGGGACCCAGACTGTGCTATTCAACTGATCCCCCACAAAATTCTGCCATTATTATTCATGATACTGTCTTTAAAACTGGTTCTTTTTATTTACTAAAATATATAGATTTGAAAATGAAATCCTTACTGTCCTTTCTGTGAATAGAAAACCAATACCACTGCTACCAGTAAATAAAAATAAATACAGTGAACAGTGATGTGATGAAAATCTAGCTAGGCACTGTTGAAAGTGAACGTCTCCCAGTCGTGTCCAACTCTTTGCAACCCCATGGACTGTATAGTCTGTCAGGCTACTCTGTCCATGGAATTCTGCAGGCCAGAATACTGAAATGGGTAGCCATTCCCTTCTCCAGAGGATCTTCCCAACCCAGAGATGGAACCCAGGTCTCCTGCATTGCAGGCAGTTTCTTTACCGTCTGAGCTACCAGGGAAACTCATATACTGTTACCCACTCCTTCCTTATTAAAAGGGGAGATTAGCAAGGATTGAAGACATGCTAAAGACTTAATGCCACAAACTGAAACTTACCGCTAAAGCAATTTAAAAACTTTCAAGGGGTTCTTATAAAGGAATAGCTTTCTCACTGTGTGATTCAGCATTAATTAATGCTATGGCCTGCTACTGTCTAAGGTCACTTTTCTTTCAATCTAATTTCTCATGTGCTGGAGTGATACTCATCTCACCTGTATCAGTCAGGCTCCTGGTGGGGATTTAATGAAAGGTCCAAGTCACAGACACAATTCACAGGTATGCACAAGAGAGCGTGAAGCACCCAGAGGCTAGGTTAGCTACCACCCCCGGGGCGGAAAGGGCAAGAGGAAGAAGTCACAATCCTGGGAAAGCTGGAGCTCCAGGGAAGAAGCTGCTCAGGGAAGTCTAGAGTCAGAGACACAACTGGCATCAGAAAAGCAGCAGGCAGTGCGGGGGGAAATGGGCATCAGCGTGTTTCTCCAGTGCCTCCCTTCGGCAGCCCCTAACTGGAGGCAAGTGGTGGGCAGGCCCGGGAGAGGCAGTCCATCGAGTCAGCACAGGAAAGGATCCGAGAGGTGGAGTGAACGGGGTCAGCACAATGTCCCTGGGAATCACTGATGCGCACCATATGCAAGGGACACACACACACAGCCCCTGGCCTGAAGGGAGGCAGAGACAGAGGGCAGAGGCTGGGAGGGACAGGGCGGGCAAGACCTAACGTGCCCGCTCTCTGGCCCACAGTGTCCGTGAGTATCAACAACCTGTACCCCGGCTGTGAGAACGTGAGCGTCAGGAGCCGCAGCATGATGTTCGAGCCGGGCCTCACCAAGGGGGTGCTGGAGGTGTTCGGGGCCCCGTCCCACCACCCGCACTGCGCCACGGACGACCAGTCCACCAAGGCAATCGACATCCAGAATGCCTATTTGAACGGTAGGCTCACCCTCCCCAAACGGAAAGAGTTTCCCGCAGGGAACCTGTCCCGGCGGGCATCTGCCACGGGTGCATTAAGGGTGGAGATAGGGCCAGCATGGGAGTGACCCAGGGCTGAGGCACGGCTGGTTAGTATCCCAAAAGTAAAGCTAAACACAGTAGGCGCTTAACAAATGACTACGTTATTGTTCAGTTGCTCAGTCATGTCTGACTGTTTGCCAGCCCATGGACTGCAGCACGCCAGGCTTCCCCGTCCTTCACCATCTCCCAGAGCTTGGCTTAAACTCATGTCCACTGAGTCTGTGATGCCATCCAATTGTCTTATCCTCTGAGCCCCACTCTCCTCCTGCCCTCAGTTCCTCCCAGCATGAGGATCTTTTTCAGTGAGTCGGCTATTTGCATCAAGTGGCCGAAGTATTGGAGCTTCAGCTTCAGCATCCTGAGTGTTCAGGATTGGTTTCCTTTAGGATTGACTGGTTTGATCTCCTTGCAATCCAAGAGACTCTCATAGTCTTTTGAATAAAAGTGAAGTCTTTTGAGAAAAAGTAGAGAGTCTTTTGAGTAAAGAGTATGTTTACTCTTTGGAATAAATTTAAAGACTCAAATTCAAAGACGGTGAGTAAATTTTTTATGAAGACTTTACTCAACAGTCTTTTGAGTCTGTTGAGTAAATTAGTGCATTTTTTAACCTCATAAAATACAGTCGCATTAGCAGTTGGTATACCCAATTTGAAACCCAAGTGCTGGCTCTCCCTAGAGTTCCCAGGGCCCCAACCAGGAACACAAAGCTTGCTGAGATGCAGTTCATTCAGAACAGGGATAGAGCAGTTTCTCTGAGCCACAGTTCCCTTAACTGTGAGGATTTTATGAGCTGGTGTCTATTAAAAGTCCTAGAGAGAGGAACTCAGAAGAAATTGGGGGCATCTTCATGAAAGCCCTTTTATATACTAAACCCAGTTAAAAATAGAATACTCAGGGTGTTTACCTAAAGCAGCAGTTCTTAAACTCCAGCATACACACACATGCCCTGGAGCCACTGGAAGCACAGACTGCCAGGCCCTGCCCCTAAGCCTCTGATTCAGCCCATCTGGGGAGTTTCCTGGCGATGCTGCTACTGGGCCAGGGACCCTAAGGAAATAAAGTTCATATGCATTTTGCTCCCTTAAAAGTTGAGTGTTGTCCGAGTTCCAGGGAGCACAGCTGGCCCTGCCGCGTAGGGAGCGAAGTGTGTGCGCAGCACACCCTCACCCCTCCTCCTTCCCTGGTCTCACCCCCTTCCCGGTCTGGCTCCAGCACTCCGCAGGCTCAAAGGGCCTATTTCTGTGTTCCCAAAACTATTCCCACTGAGGTCTTAGCTGCCAGATTTAGAGGGTCATGCTCCCCAGGAGTGCTGGGCTCTAGAAAAACCCTGTGGATCTTCCAGAATGTCTCGACTGCAGAATTTCTGCACAGAGTAAGCACCAAGGGGGAAAATTAGGGAAAAGGAGCCTGAAATCCTATAACTGAAGTGGTCCTGCCTGACTCCCCAGAGGCCACTGGGTGGGTGTCACTGACCTTGTGGGATCTGGTGGTATCCTGGTGTCTGGACGATCATGAGGAGGTTCTGGGTGCCCTAGAAACTCCAGGTCAGAATCTCGCCCATGACATTTACAGGAAAACCAGCCACACCACAGCCCCTGTGTGGGAAAGCGACTGCACCCCTACCACACACACACACACACACTTCCTCCCCAGCCTGACCCTTCCACTGCCTCCCCCAGTGTGGTTGGCCTCTCGGACCCAGTCTCCTCACAGTTCCTCTTACATCCTTCGTGTGCCAAGCCGCTAATCAGTTATTGCATCTTAAACCTGTGTGCAGTGGCCTGCTCCCTTCTGACCATCCAGAACAGATCGCCCCTTAGCCGTAAAGGTGAATTTAGTCACTATTAAACCAAAATTAAGGTTACATTTCACAGTGAAGTTTCCAGTGTTGGGGGGTAGAAAACCAAGTGTTTGTACACATACACCTCTCCAGGTATGCTTATAGGCATGCACATACCCACATGTGTGGGGTTTGTGTGTGTTTGTACCACTCTGGGGTGTTATAAATAGATGTGATAGAGATACACATGTAATAATGATACAGATATGATCATGGAAGTGTCAAGGAAAATGGAAAAGCAGATTACAGATACAAGTAGGTTTACTGTAGTAGTAGTGTTAGTCACTCAGGCATGTCCACTTCTTTGCAACCCCATGGACTGTAGCCCACCAGGTTCCTCTGTCCATGGGATTCTCCAGGCGAGAATACTGGAGTGGGCTGTCATTTCCTTCTCCAGGAGATCTTCCTGACCCAGGGATTGAACCAAGGTGTCCTACATAGCAAGCAGATTCTTTGCCGCCTAAGCCATCTATCGTTTTATAGATAAAAGGCATGGGTATAGAAACAGACATAAACAGAAAATATAGGGATATGTAAATATTCCATATGTAGATCTATACTTAAGTAGATGCGTAAATAAACAGATGAATGCGGTGGATGTCACTGTCCCTATTCATAATCCCTAAAGTGCTAAGAAAAATTGTGATTAAAATTTGGTGGCATTTCACGATTGTTAATCTTTCTTTTCCTTTTTCTCTGTAGGCATTGGTGACTTCAGTGTATGGGAGTTCTCTGGAAATCCTGTCTACTTCTGCTGTTATGACTATTTTGCTGCAAACGATCCCACGTCCATCCATGTCATCGTTTTCAGTCTAGAAGAGCCCTATGAGATTCAGCTGAATCAAGTGATTTTCTGGCTTAGTTTCCTGAAGTCTCTTGTCCCAGTGGAAGAACCAATAGGTGAGCCACGACATTGGGGGGCAGGTGTCCCTTCCTCCTGACCTTGCTTCCCGCTCACGCCCAGATCTGGCAGCTTGTGGCCAGTAAGCCACCCTTATTCCTCCTTCCTATCAGGAGATCTCCACTCGGGAAGCTTTCTAAGGCTCAGCTGTTGGTTTTGTTCTACAAGGAGTTGTTTCATGACTGCATATTTCTGCCACAAAGACTCAGTTCTGAACAATTCCTTGAGAGTCATTTCTGGCTTTCTTTCTATATTTCAGAGCTGTGGTCACTTTTGTTAGGTGCATAGGGGGCACCTCATCTGATAGCTGCTGTGCCTTTACCTAATGGGCATGTAGTTAATAAACAGAACAAGCCCCCCTTCATCCATCAAAAATGAAAGAAAGGGAACCATGTTAACTGAATGTAGTATCTTAGCCTTATTCCTAAAGGAAAAGACAGCATGGACAGACTTATTTTGTTCTTTTCATACAAAAAAAAGAAGCAGCCTTCCCTGGTGAAATGTAAAACTCAGCAGTCAATTCTTTTCTTGAGAAGCATATAACAGCAAAATTAATTGGGCTAATTCCCTTCAGGGTACCTCCACTTTTGCCTCCTCCTTCTTCATGTTTTCATTTTAAACACTGCCATAAGTGAGAGGCTCTCTGCTGATGTGAACTGCAGGAGTTTCCCTTCTGAGCCATTTCTGTGCTGTGCTGCAGTCAGCAGCTGGCTCTGGTCTTGGAAAGGGCATCCCCCAGCCAGAAGCTAGATCTCCCCTCACCGTGCAAATAAGGCCTACTTGGAGGAAGATCTGAGAAGCTGCGTCATGCTCTGTGGTCGCTTCTGGCCCACTTCTGAGCAGCCTTCCTTGAGGCCCAGGAAATAGGCTCATTCCATCTTTGGCCAGGCCTAGACCTTCTAGTGACCTTACAGGTCACTCCGATCAGCAGGCATAGGTTTGCAAGTCTGCAGGCAAAATGTACCAGTCTCATCCACCTAGCGAGGCAGCCCAGACCGAGCACCCCACCTCACCTGGGCAGGGTGGAGGTTTGCTCTCCACACCCGGGCAGGTGTGAAATGGCTCGCTTTCTGCCCTCAGCCTTTGGCGGCAAGCTGAAGAACCCACTCCGAGTTGTCGTGGTGGCCACCCATGCTGACATCGTGAACCTTCCTCGTCCAGCTGGAGGCGAGTTTGGATATGACAAAGATACCTCGTTGCTGAAAGAGATCAGGAACAGGTAAGGTGGCTGCTGTATCTTCAGGTAATGCAGCCGAAATCAGGTGACCCAGAGAGAGGAATGAAAGAACTGAAAGGTCTCTTTGGCTTGGCTGAAATTTTAATTGTATGTTTCATTGTTGCCAAAGCCACCAATACACATAATAACAAATTAAACAGAAGTAAAAGGCACAGGATAAAAATCAGCAGCCTTGGAGTACCACTGCCCAGAGGTAACTCTTTTTAGTTGTTTTATGCATTTTTTTTTCAGCTTTACTGAGGTGTAATTGACAAGTGAAATTTGTAAGCTATTTAAACTATACAAAGTGGTGATTCAATATATATATATACACAATGTGAAAGGATTCTCTCCATCTCATTAATTAACATATCAGTCACCTCACATATTTATCTTTTTTGTGTATGAAGACATCAATCAGTATTTCTTAAAATGTAAATTGCAACCTGCTAGTGGATCATAAACTTCGTATCAAAGGCCTGCGGTACAATGTAGGTGAGAGGAACATGATAGAAAATATCGGAGTGCATTTTATGTCAAGTATTCTTGGAAAACTTTTTTTGTTTCGCTTAGAATCACAGTGTAAAAGTATCTATTTTTACTTAGTGTCTATCCCCCCCCCAAAAATGTTGAACCTGCAGCTCTATTTAATATGCTAGTAATTTGATTTCTTGGTTTATCAACTCACACTTACCTATTATCTTCCTGATGTGAAAAGTTGGGCTTCTACTAATACTTTTTTTTCTGAACTAATACTTTTTTTTCTGGAGTGTAGCCGATTAACAATGCTGTGACAGTTTCCGGTGATCTACTAATACCTTAGATCTAAGGTGTTGTTGCATACTCATCCCTCTGTTCTTACTCCATCAGCTTCCACAGTATCTCTTCTCCTGCCTGGTCAAGTGAGTTCATTAGGCCTCCCCTTTCCTGTGTCGAGGGAAGCTGTGTTCCCCAGTTTTGTGGAACCTGGGGCACCTATCTGCACCTGGAGCAGGCGGTGTCCCCAGGCCTCCACACCAGGGTAACATTACAGAGTCCAGCCAACAGCAGGTGGGGGTGTGTCTCCGCAAGGCCACCAGCCCTTCCTTGCTCCCCGCCACCCCCAGCCCTTTGGACCAGCAGGAGCCTGGCCCTCTGTGGAAACACCTGGGGAGACTGCGTCACTCTCAGGAGGGCACTGCTCTTCCCCTAGGTTTGGGAACGATCTTCACATTTCAAATAAGCTCTTTGTTCTGGATGCCGGGGCTTCTGGGTCTAAGGACATGAAGGTACTTCGAAATCACCTGCAAGAAATACGGAGCCAGATTGTTTCGGTGAGTATACCTGGGGAGGGTTGGACCCAACCTTCAACCAGACCATGCAGTGACCAGGGAGTTGGACCTCTTTGTGCCTCTTTGTATGGTTCTCATGGTTTAGTCTGGTTTTCACGGGACCCAGTACAAGGTGTCTACATCGCCACATTTTCATCCTGTTGTTCTAGGGTGAGGAAGAGTAAAGAAATGAGGAGATGGCCTCGAGATGAAGAGTTGTTATGGGCAAGACAGACTACCTTAGAGTGTATGAAATTCTGAGTTTTAGTGGTTTGTTTAAGAGTAAAATTGCTTCCTAAAAATTACAAAAGCAATTCAAAATTGAGTAAACATATTGTGAAATATTTCAGAAATGCAGAAAAGTGGAAAAACAGTCACCAACAAAATTCACTGAAGAAATAATAGATGACCAAATGGAATGAGATGGTGTTCTTAGATGGCAAGATCTTAGGAAGTGTTTCATTTTCCGGAGTTATATAAACTTTGTACAGTTCTCATTAGTATCTGAATGGGATTGAGGACAGGGGGGTTTTGTCTTAACATTTCAATAGAAGAATAAGTGAACATAAAGGCTCTGCAATCAGTAAATAAATGGAATAGATTAGTGAGGGTAGAAATAGTTAAGAACATCTGCAGAAATTTAATAGAAAACAGAGATGTTATTTAAATTTAATGGGGAAATTTAATAAATGACCTGGCACAACTGGCTATTTGCCTGGAAGGAAATAAGGTTGAACTCCTCCTCACTACGCAGCCCCAAAATAAACTGTAGGCAGATTAAAGCTTTTAAATGTAAAAAGTAGTATCTTGAATGGAAATGCAAGAGAATTTATTTTTAAAATACCTCCAGAGTGTTCGAGAAAACTTTTAAACCAAGACAGAGAACCTCAGAAGTTTTCAAAGAAAATACACCAATATTTTGTTCAAATACATTGGACAACATAAAAGTTTAAAAAGTTTTTTCTGGCAAATAAATTCCATAAATGAAGTTAAAAGGTGACATGGACTGGGGAAAAAAAATATTCTCAATGTTTCTGGCATATGAAAGATTACTATCCATAATATTCAAAAAGCTCTCTGAAATGAGCAAATGTTCCAATGGAAAATGCTAAAAAAAAAAAAGTGTTCCAGGGACTATTTCTTCTTCTAAGCTCCAGTGTAACAACAATATGGCTCTTATCCCCCTGCCTGGTAGAGGCCATCTTTTGTTATAGCTTACTGTTTACCTGATGGAAGTGACCTGTTTACAATACCAGGCTCCAGTTCCAGATGTGCTTTGGGAATTTCCAGGAACTCTTTCCTCTCTCATGAAGCCTGACCCTGACTTTCTGAAAAGGGCCACACTACAGTGCTCAGTGGGCAGGGAGTAAGCTTGGAGGGCCTCAGAGAACCTGGTCACAGAACCCAGTGGGTGGTGATCAGGAACAGCGGTCTGTGAAGGGCTCAGCGCCTGCGCACCAGGTGGGACAAGGGCCTGTGCTCCCTGCGGAGTTTTGAGCTGAGGTGTGGCATATATCTGCTCCACGTCCCTGCACCCCATAGCTCCTGAAATCAGGCAGATGGAACTCACCAAACCCACTGCTTTTAGCCCTAGGAACGTTGTTAAATTTAGGAGGCATAAAAATGATTGCAGAAGGGACTGCCTAACGAATGATGCAGTGCAGTGTATGGCTTGTGGGAGGTTTAATTAGGAAGGTGTGTTGATTATATGAGTCTGTAACATAGACTGGTTTATTTAACCAAGTTAAGAGATGAAAAGCTCATTACAAGCCAATTACCAAGAATTAATCAAATTGGCTCTAATGGTAAAGATCCACCTGCCAATGTAGGAGACATAAGAGACACAGGTTCGATCCCTGGGTCAGGAAGATCCCCTGGAGGTGGGCATGCAACCCACTCCAGTATTCTGGCCTGGAGAATCCCATGGACAGAGGAGCCTGGCAGGCTGCAGTTCATAGGGTCACACAGAGTGGAACACGACTGAAGTGACATAGCACGCATGCATGTCTCAACAGTAATCCTCACCGATACCTAATTTTAAAAAAACCCATCTAGTGTTGATATAATGATACTTAACTCTCTTCTCCTGTCTTTTTGTTCATAAAGCAGTCATCCCCTGGCTGAAACCTTCACTCCAAGGGGGTGGGGGGACATCAGAAGTTGGTGCACCTTAGGTCACTGAGTCCACAGTTCCAGAACCATTATTGCAAAGCCTCACCATCAGTTTAACATGAGCAGAAGTGAAAGCCTCGGTAAACTTGTAGATTTGTGAAATAGATTCTGCTTAAAGGCAAGTCTGAAAAAAGAACTGCCCCAGGCACCTAACACAGTGCTTTGCACATAGTAGTCAATCAGTGTTTGTTAAATAAAGCTATTAGTGTTGTTCAAATTAAAAAAAAAAAAAAAACTGCCCCAGTACTTAGCCAAAAAAGCATGAGTGCACCCAAATAATTCCATGCAGCAGTGCAGATGTGAGCAGCATCATTTTTAATCCCAGCTCTCCCTGAGTCCCCACAGCAGTACCTTGACCTGCCCATCCTGCATGTTCTAGGTCTGCCCTCCAATGACTCACCTATGTGAAAAGATCATCTCCACTTTGCCCTCCTGGAGGAAGCTTAACGGCCCCAACCAGCTGATGTCACTGCAGCAGTTCGTGTATGATGTACAGGACCAGTTGAACCCCCTGGCCAGCGAGGGGGACCTCCGGCGCATCGCCCAGCAGCTCCACAGTGCTGGCGAGGTGAGAGCTCCAGCCTGGCGGGGATCTGGGAGGAGCCCCCCAGGATGCATTTCCAGCATCTGAAGGTAGGATGAGCTGGAGGGGCAGAGTGGCAACTGCGCACTGCCCATGATGCCTCACAGGAAGGCTCGGGTGATTTCCTAAACTGCTAGCCTCTGCTTTCCTGTTCACCTTAAAAGCGCAGTTCATTTGTAATTGTTGTGGTGGTTTTTTTGTTTTTTTTTTTCTTTTTTTTCTTTGCTTTGGTTGGTTGATTTTCTGGCTTCTCTTAGTTTGAGGGCAGAATTCCCACGACACTGGGTGACTGGGCCTCTCCTCCCTCTCCCCATAGCCCTTGGTGCTTAGCTGTGATTCCTGCAGCTCGGATGACTGATCCCCATGAGCTGTGTCAGCTACACACAGACCTAGTGGGTTCACAGACAGTCAAGAAATGACAGTGATGTGTCCTCATGGAGATGACATCTGGAAACAGTAAGATGTAGCAAGCAGTGGTCCCCAGAAATGATCAAGAAATAGAAATCTCTGTTTCTGGTTGTGTTACATTCAGCACTGGGATGTAGTTTGGGAAGTCTGTTCTAATTGCTTCATATGCTGCCTGTCCCACTAAAGAGAGCATAGCCTTCACATGCGTCCATCTTGTGAAATCAGGAGACAGTATAAGCTAGTCTGGACCAAGAAGAACAGTTCTGAACGTGAAAAACCAGAAGCAGTTAGGAGAATTTACAAACAAGAAGTTTGCCTCCCCATTCTCAGGGGCCACATTGGGCCCTTGGCCATGGATCATATAGGCTTGAAATTCTAATTAAATCAAGAAGCCAGTGATCCTAAAATACTAGAGCCTCAAGCAGTGATTGTGTCAGTCTTTGAATCCCCATGAAACCACAGGCTAAATCTACTAGCCCCTCCAGCGGTACTCTAAATGATTGCCTCCAAGGATGGGAAAAATGAAGGACCAAAGCTTACCTTATAGTGCTAGAAATAAATGTATATCTTTTAACAAAAATAATAAGCTCACTCTTTTTAATAAAGTATTCTCTTGTCTTCTGGCATTTGATCAGCAACTTTCTAGATTATGGAGATTTGGCAATTCATCTCTCCCTGCTCTTGAGACTTTAATAAGTAAATAAAGGTAGAAAGAAAAGAAGGGAAATCTGAATCAGGCAGCCTCACTCTGACTGGCTGCGAGCCCCTCTCCAGTACTGTTCTGTTGTCTAGGAAATAATCTAAGGATCTTACAGATTTCATCAGTTGTTCTGTCTTCTTCTGGCTCAGGATCACACACTGCACTCAGTCATCTGTCTCCTTAGTGGCCTCCAATAAGGCACAGTGCATCTATCTGTCTTCTGTGACCCTGAGGAGATAGTTATGTCTGAGACTGAATTGCAGACAGCATTCTACCAAAGTGAAAGTGAAAGTCGCTCAGTTGTGTCCAACTTTTTGCGACCCCATGGATAGTCCATGGAATTCTCTAGGTCAGAATACTGAAGTGGGTAGCCTATCCCTTCTCCAGTGGATCTTCCCGACCCAGGAATTGAACCAGGGTCTCCCCTATTGTGGGCAGATTCTTTACCAACTGAGGTATCAGGGAAGCCCATTCTACCAAATGTCTTATTAAAAACTAAAAGGTACTGCTCTACATTCCAGAAATGTCTCAAGTTTGAACAGAGGGCATCTCCAAGACTTAGACTACGGGGAGAAAAGTGGGGCTTCTCCGGTGGCTCAGTGGTAAAGAATCTGCCTGCAACCCAGGAGACCTGGGTTTGATCCCTGGGTCAGGAAGATCCTCTGGAGAAGGAAATGGCTACCCACTCCAGTATTCTTGCCTGGAGAATTCCAAGGACAGAGGATATAGTCTATGGGGTCGCAAAGAGTTGGACATGACTGAGTAACTAACAATTTCTTTCACTTTTCATGGGGAGAAAAGTTCTCCCAGTGCAAACAGATCTCAGCCTCCATGTGAGATCCCTGATCTTTGTAGAACTAACCCAGGACAGAGAGGCAGGGAAGGAGGGGTAAGTGCCAAAAAGGAGAAAGTTTCTTCTATTTGTGTGTATGTGTGTGTCATTTTTTAAAATTCTTTCTAACTTCTGCTTTTTAAAGAAATGAATATGACCGGAAAAGCTGAAGTCCCCTTTGCCATCACCTCTCACCTTATTCCTCCCTTGCCCCTCCAGTGCCAACCACTGTGGTGGCATATCTTTCCAGAACAGTCTAATGTAACATTCTGAATCTTTTTTGAAAAATTTCAAGCCTTCAGAGAAGTTGCAAGAATAGTAGGATGTATCCTCATATCCTCCAAACCTAATTTAACTAGCTGTTAACGCTTTGCTAAATTTACTTTGTCTCTCTTCTGTCATGTATTTGCTTCGCAAACATCATGACCTTTCACCCCTAAATAATTTAGCTCGCATCTGCTAAGGAGGACATTCTCCCACATAACCATAATATATTTGATTATCATAACCTGGAAACGTAATGTTGATATAATGCTATGGTTGAATTTATAGACCTCATTGAAGTATTTGCCACTTGTCCCAGTATTTTCTTTTACAGCTAATTTTATTCATTTGTGTATTTATTTTGGGATTCAGAATCCAGTCAAAAGTCACCCATTGCATTGGGCTCCTGTCTCTCCCTCTCTCTTTTATTGCACTGGCCTTTTATAATAAGAGTCAAAGGTAGTCTTTTAAGAATCTCCTTTATGGCATTGCCAAATGGTATTTCTTGGTTCAGTATTGATTTTGAGACCCCTCCATACGAATGTCCTGGGTCGTTCCTTATGGCATCTGCACAGATTTCACCCCTGCTCAGGCCCATTGGTGGTTTGAGCAGCTGGGTTATCTGGTCCTTTATGTTCCTAATGCGTGACTTCCCGTTGTCCCCTCGGACAGATCAACATCATGCAGAGCGAAACTGTCCAGGACGTACTGCTCCTGGATCCCCGCTGGCTGTGCACCAATGTTCTGGGGAAGCTGCTCTCGGTGGAGACCCCACGGGCCCTGCACCATTACCGCGGCCGCTACACCACGGAGGACGTCCAGCGCCTGGTGCCCGACAGCGACGTGGAGGAGCTGCTGCAGATCCTGGATGCCATGGACATCTGCGCGCGGGACCTGAGCAGCGGGACCATGGTGGACATCCCCGCCCTGATCAAGACTGACAACCTGCACCGCTCCTGGACGGACGAGGAGGACGAGGTGCGGGTCTACGGCGGCGTGCGTGTCGTCCCGGTGGAGCACCTCACCCCCTTCCCGTGTGGCATCTTCCACAAGGTGCAGGTGAACCTGTGCCGGTGGATCCACCAGCAGAGCGCGGAGGGAGACGCGGACATTCGCCTGTGGGTGAACGGCTGCAAGATCGCCAACCGCGGGGCCGAGCTGCTGGTGCTCCTGGTCAACCACGGCCAGGGCATAGAGGTGCAGGCGCGCGGGCTGGAGACGGAGAAGGTCAAGTGCTGCTTCTTGCTGGACTCGGTATGCAGCACCGTCGAGAGCGTCATGGCTGCCACGCTGCCCGGGCTGCTGACGGTGAAGCACTACCTGAGCCCCCAGCAGCTGCGAGAGCACCACGAGCCCGTCATGGTCTACCAGCCACGGGATTTCTTCCGGGCGCAGACCCTCAAGGAGACCTCGCTGACCAACACCATGGGCGGCTACAAGGAGAGCTTCAGCAGCATCATGTGCTTCGGCTGTCACGATGTCTACTCGCAGGCCAGCCTGGGCATGGACATCCACGCGTCAGATCTGAGCCTCCTGACCCGGAGGAAACTCAGCCGACTGCTGGACCCACCCGACCCCATGGGGAAGGACTGGTGCCTCCTTGCCATGAACTTGGGCCTCCCTGACCTTGTGGCCAAGTACAACACCAATCACGGGTCTCCCAAGGAGTTCGTCCCGAGCCCAGCCCACGCCCTGCTCCGGGAATGGACTTCCTACCCCGAGAGCACTGTCGGCATCCTCATGTCCAAACTGCGGGAGCTGGGGCGTCGGGACGCAGCGGACTTCCTGCTGAAGGCGTCCTCTGTGTTCAAAATCAACCTCGACGGCAACGGCCAGGAGGCCTACGCCTCAAGCTGCAACAGTGGCGCATCTCACAATTCCATTAGCTCGGTCGTGTCCCGGTGAGGGCAGCCTTCGGCTTGGGCAGGGTCTCTTCCAACTGCAGGGGCAAGGGGGACACAAGCCCGTCTTTCCCACCAGAGATTCTGGCGCGTTCCTTCCTACGCCCACATCCTGAAGGACGCCCCCTCCCTCCCCGCTTCACCTACTTCTCTGCCACTACCTCCCTCCTCTCACACATTCCCTGGTGTGTGAATGAATGGTCTTTCTAGTTCAAGAGCAGACCCTATCCTTTAAACCTTTGGCCATTTGAAAAGCTAGCCACCCTCCACCTCTCATCCTCTAGTACCTTGCTTCTTAATGATAATTTTACTGGAATTCCTAACTTTTCAATGAAATTTTTTTAAACTATTATATTAAATGTCCTTTAAAAAAAAAAAAGTGCACATTTATCCAAGATGTGTATTTCTTATACTCTTTTCTTTGTTATACCATGTCCTCAGCTTATCTCTTTTATATTTGTAGGAAAAACTCCCATGTAAGGAATCCCACTGTATGATTTATAAACAGAAAATATGTGAGTGCCTTTTGCAGAAGAGGGTGTGTTTGAAATCATCCAAGTCAGCCCGAAGCTGTCGAGAAAGAAACACTCCCTCTCTGTCTCTTGCTGTATGCTGATCATCGCCAGAGGTGCTTCACCCGAGGGTTTTTTGGTTTTTTGTATTTTGGTGTTTTTTTTTTTTTCTTTTTTTGGAAACTTTTGTGTTTCCTTTGGCAAGGAAAGGGGAGAAAGAAAACCTCCTCTAGAGCAATTTCATGGCCAGTGTTGTTACTACAAGACATGTTCGTGTTTGCTTTTGTTTCAACGTCAGTGTGAACATTCACGTGGAACCTGCAGGCTGTCTTGCTTCTTCATCCCCTGTCGTCTCAGGTAGAAGGTTGACACGGTCATAGGGAGCCAAGACCTGTGTGAGAATTCAGAAGACCCCGACTCATGATTTGTGGCAGTTTGTTGTCATGTGCATAGCAGACGGTTCTCCACATTTAGATCCTGGTTTGAAAACTTCCTATACTTGAAGTCTCAAAAAGAAAATAAAGGAAGCAAGTTTTCTTGCAGTGATTTTGAATTGTGATGGAGTTTTAAATTGAAATAAGGGAACATGTCCTAATTCTTCTGTCCTGAGAAGCATGTAATTTTAATATTATATCATATGTATATATATATATGCAGTATGTATATACATATATATTAATACAGGTATTTTTACTTAATCTTTAAGATGTAGTAAAAAAAAGTTTTTTGTTTTTTTTCTTTTCCTTTTTTTTTTTTTTATAAATAAACTGTTGCTTGTTGCATTAGCTTGTTGGTCTTTAATTCAAGAAGGATTCTTTTTGTCATGTTTTCATTTATCAGTACCCTCGTGGGACCAGCCAGTCCAGAAAGTGATTAAACCTAAACTCTTAGGGCTGGAAATCAACAGCAGTTTATTAGGTGCTTAATTATTACTGAAGTTGGGAATGGTGTGGAAAAACAGAAAGAGCTTGGATGATGTCACCTGTGTTTTTGCTTTAAAGAAAAGAAGCTCTTTCCACTTCCTTGGGTGAGCCCCAAAACCAAATTGTATCATTTAGTTCTCAGCTATGGGGAAACAGGAAGCTTTCTATTTCTGTACAAAGGTGGAGAGACTAGTGCTCTATGGGAGCAAGAGAAAACTTACTACAAAAGATACATACCTGCCTGCCTTTACTTAGAGACCACACTGCCCCAGGCCATCAGATTTTGTCCTGCATGAAAGCATCACTATGAACAAAGCTAGTGGATGTGATGGAATTCCACTTGAGCTATTTCAAATCCTGAAAGATGATGCTGTGAAAGTGCCGCACTCAATATGCCAGCAAATTTGGAAAACTCAGCAGTAGCCACAGGACTGGAAAAGGTCAGTATTCATTCCAATCCCTAAGAAAGGCTGTCCCAAAGAATGCTGAAACTACCACACAATTGCACTCATCTCACACGCTAGTAAAGTAATGCTCAAAATTCTCCAAGTCAGGCTTCAGCAATACGTGAACCGAGAACTTCCAGATGTTCAAGCTCATTTTAGAAAAGGCAGAGGAACCAGAGATCCAATTGCCAATAGCCGCTGGATCATCGAAAAAGCAAGAGAGTTCCAGAAAAACATCTATTTCTGCTTTATTGACTATGCCAAAGCCTTCGACTGTGTGGATCACAATAAACTGTGGAAAATTCTGAAAGAGATGGGAATACCAGACCACTTGACCTGCCTCTTGAGAAACCTGTATGCAGATCAGGAAGCAACAGTTAGAACTGGACATGGAACAACAGACTGGTTCCAAATAGGAAAAGGAGTACATCAAGGCTGTATATTGTCACCCTGCTTATTTAACTTACATGCAGAGTGCATCATGAGAAACGCTGGGCTGGATGAAGCACAAGCTGGAATCAAGGTTGCTGGGAGAAATATCAATAACCTCAGAAATGCAGATGACACCACACTTACGGCAGAGAGTAAAGAGGAACTGAAAAGCCTCTTGATGAAAGTGAAAGAAGAGAGTGAAAAAGTTGGCTTAAAGTTCAACATTCAGAAAACTAAGATCATGGCATCTGGTCCCATCACTTCATGGGAAATAGATGGGGAGACAGTAGAAACAGTTTCAGACTTTATTTTTTTGGGCTCCAAAATCACTGCAGATGGTGACTGCACCCATGAAATTAAAAGACTCTTACTCCTTGGAAGGAAAGTTATGACTAACCTAGATAGCTTATTAAAAAGCAGAGACATTACTTTGCCAACGAAGGTCCGTCTGGTCAAGGCTATGGTTTTTCCAGTGGTCATGTATGGATGTGAGAGTTGGGCTGTGAAGAAAGCTGAGCGCCGAAGAATTGATGCTTTTGAACTGTGGTGTTGGAGAAGACTCTTGAGAGTCCCTTGGACTGCAAGGAGATCCAACCAGTCCATCCTAAAGGAGATCAGTCCTGGATGTTCATTGGAAAGACTGATGATGAAGCTGAAACTCCAAAACTTTGGCCACCTCATGCGGAGAGTTCACTCATTGGAAAAGACCCTGATGCTGGGAGGGATTGGAGGCAGGAGGAGGAGGGGACAACAGAGGATGAGATGGATGGATGGCATCACCAACTCGATGGGCATGAGTTTGAGTAAATTCCGGGAGTTGGTGATGGACAGGGAGGCCTGGCATGCTGCGATTCATGGGGTCACAAAGAGTCGGACACGACTGAGTGGCTGAACTGAACTGATAGCTGTAAGTGACAAAAACTCTTAAGTGACAAAACCCATCTTTAGTAAAACCTCAAAGCTTCTTTAAAAAAAAAAAAGGAGCAAAGAAAAAAAAACTGGAAGGAAAATACTACAATGGTGTGGTTGATGTTTTTCTGTGGTGGTGGAAGTAGAATTCATTTCTGTTTTGCCTAAATTGTCGTTAGTAAACATGATTTACTTTTATAGGGAGAAGATAAATTTTAATGGAGTAAAATTTAAAGCTACATATAGACATGTGTCAAAAGGATGGCGCTGAAATTGAAATCACAGTTGCCTTAGAGGAATAGAGCCTCCTTTTATTTTTTGGGCCACACTCAGCTTACAGGAATTCAGTTTCCTGACCAGGGATTGAATTCTGACAGTGAAATTTCGAAATCCTAACTACTAGGCCGCCAGAGAACTCCCAGAACCTCCTTTTCTTGTGTTAACTCCCTCCTGAGTGGCAGCTTTGTTTCCTCCTGCTTCAAAAGTGCTTCACATCACAGGTTCTAGCACCAGGACATAGCACCCAGGAGGCAAGGACTGCGTCTGGTTGCATCAGTAAGTAAAACCCCAGAGAAAGATTGACTGCTCCAGTCTGGGTCGTGGTCCCTCCCAGTGTCTGGAAGAGAGAGAGACAGAGTCAAATGATTGGCCTGGCCCCGTGGACCCTGGGACAGTTTTGGGAAAGGAGCAATTTCGCCCAAGAAGGGAGTTGTAGCAGCAGGAGAAAGGGACAGAAGGAGGATGCTGGGTAAATAAAGCAGAGACGGCAAACATCCCACACGAGTCTTCATACTTTTGTTTTATGCAGGTGCCTGTTCGTAAGATTATGGGGCCACCTAAGCTGCTGAAATATTGAAGCCATACTTCAGAATCATTACTACCCAGAGTTTAAGGACCATTGAGCTCACTGCCCTGCCCTGGCAAGTGCTGTGGGGACATTCCAGGCCACATTTGGGGGTCTTCAGCGCCATGAACTCTAGCCAGGCTGGAACCGTCACAGAACCCCAGCATTAGTAGATGACTCTGCCTCCTACAGGAGGGAAGAAGCCAAGCCATTCATAGCCTCCTGCACCACAGTGAGAATCAAGTATAGGTTCTTCGGAGCCAGAAAGGAGCCCTTTGTGGACCCTTTATTAGAGTTGCTGTAAAATGCACTTGGGCACATGTTCTTCATCCCCTGTGGTTGCTCTGGGGTGCCCAGGGTCCCCCTGTGGACAGGAGCATGCTAATGACCCAAAGTCTCTAAGGCATGGGCTGGAGGGGACTTCTGGGAATTCTGATTGGTTCAAAAATCTGGATCCCACACCTTTGAAAAGGAATCGGAATTCTGGGTGGTCTTTTCTGCAAAAAGCAGTTTACAATCACACTTACAGGATTCTCTGAAACCATAAAACTACCCTTGGCCCTTTCTGGGATTCCTTGATGGCTCACTGGATAAAGAATCCAGCTGCCAAAGCAAGAGACGCAGGTTCAGTGCCTGAGTTGGAAGGATCCCCTGGAGAAGGAAATGGCAATCCACTCCAGTCTTCTTGCCTGGGAAATCCCACGGACAGAAGAGCCTGGCAGGCTACAGTCCAAAGGGTCGCAAAGAGTCAGACTCGACTTAGCAACTAATCACTCTCTCTGGCCCTTTCAGTGTCCAGAGTCTCCACCAGTCTTTCTAAATCTGCTGGTGTGACCCCAGAAAAACCACACCAAAGTAGAGAGCTGGGCCTGGCTACTCCTGCATCAACAGCACTAGATGCTAGCCAGGCTGTAATACCAAAGGGTAGCCAAGAGATCTGAGCTAATAGGGGAAGACCTTCGTTAAGAATAAAAGGCAAGCTGCAGTTTTGCAAGATGAAAAAGGTGACAGTGGCACAACAATATCAGTGTATTTACTGTCACTGCACCATGCAGTTACAAGTGATTAAAATGGGAAAAAAAATGTTATATTTATTTTACCGCAGTTTTTTAAGAACAGATAAAAAAGAAAGCTAGAACCTAAAAATACCCAGGTAACTGTAAAGCTTGCTGAGTAATATACAAGACTACTCATGTGTTTGTTTGGTAATATACAAGACTACTCATATGTTTGGTGATATACAAGACTACTCATGTGTTTGGTAATATACAAGACTACTCATGTGTTTAGTGCAGCCCAACAAAGCATGTGCCTCCCACTTTGGGGGGAAGGTGAAATAAAAAAACGAAAGATTGCCTTTTGAAGGATTTGATATTTGTTATTAAAAAAAAAAACTGTAAAATGGTTATCATGGGAGGAAGAAGTCAGAATTTTGTTTGACTTCTTTTTTCGTTTACTGTTCAGGTTTTAATTCTTTTTGTTGTTGAAAAGTTTGAATTCATACTTGTGAAGGCGACAATAGTCTTTTCAGGACTTTGGATTCTTGAAGATTTAATTCGGCCACACTGTTCACGGGGATAAGGTGCTCTGATTCGTCATTCCCCAGATGTCTGCTGGGCACCTGTTGCTATGAGGGGGTGCCAGCCCTGGGCACACGGAGCCTGGTGAGTTGGCACTTGATCCCCAGGCTGGCCTTGGGGCTCAACTCAACTCTCTGAGGAATTTGCTCTCAGTTCAGTCGCTCAGTCATGTCCAACTCTGCAACCTCATGAACCACAGCACGCCAAGCCTCCCTATCCATCACCAACTCCCGGAGTCCACCCAAACCCATGTCCATTGAGTCGGTGATGCCATCCAACCATTTAATCCTCTGTCATCCCCTTCTTCTGCCCTCAATCTTTCCCAGCATCAAGGTCTTTTCAAATGAGTCAGCTCTTAGCATCAGGTGGCCAAAGTATTGGAGTTTCAGCTTCAACATCAATCCTTCCAATGAACACCCAGGACTGGTCTCCTTTAGGATGGACTGGTTGGATCTCTTCCAGTCCAAGGTACTCTCAAGATTCTTCTCAAACACCACAGTTTAAAAGGATTAATTCTTCAGCACTCAGCTTTCTTTATAGTCCAACTCTCACATCCATATGTGACTACTGGAAAAACCATAGCCTAGACTAGACAGACCTTTGTTGACAAAGTAATGTCTCTGTTTTTTAATAAGCTATCTAGGTTGGTCATAACTTTCCTTTCAAAGAGTAAGCGTCTTTTAATTTCATGGGTGCAGTCACCATGTGCAGTGATTTTGGAGCCCAAAAATTTGCTCTCAGGGGGCTATTTTCAGGGACTGTGACTGTGTCTGCAAGGCCACCTGAGGTTGAGGTCCATTTTATCACTGCAGCCAAAGGTCATGTGCGGGTGAGAGGACTCAGCAGCTGCCAGGCAGGGGCCAGGTCAGGACCAGCAACTTCTGTCCCTGCTGAACACCTGGTCAGGGAGGTGCCCCTGGAAAGGGATTTCAGGCAGTAGTCAGCCACTTCCATCCGCATCTCTGGAAATGCATGTAGTGGAGCAGGAAATGACCCTAGAAGGAAACAGCTGCTAATCCTAGCAGAAACACCTCAAACGGGTGGTTGTGTCTACTGTTCACAAGGCAATTCTCTGATCAAAAGAAATGTGTGGGGGTGGAGAGGAGGGCAGGAAAGAAGCTCCACAGATACTACAGCAGAGGTTTCCATGGCATTGGACTCTGATGCCCATCACTCTAGGGGCTAATGCTTGGTGAGCGTGGTCTGGCCAGGTGCCCAAGGCGGATGCTAGCCCATGGGGATCCTGTCAGCAGGACCATGAAGGGACCGAGACAAGCTCCTGGTGAATAATGTGTCTTGTCCCACTGAAATCACAGAATTTTACAATGAAAAGAGATCTTACAGATAGTGATTCAACCACACTGTTTGGAGGGAAAGTCTTTTAAGAGATTTAGACCAAATAAGTGTGGTTCAATTAGTCATAATTTAGACTACGTGTTGGGCCCTCTGACCACAACTGGGGCCGTTTATACTCCTCTGCTAAGTGTTTATATTGTAATGTAGTATGAGTGTCATGAGTGCATGTGTATGTATGTATATTGCGTGTGTATGCATAAGTGTGCACAAGTGTATGTGTATAAGTATATGTGTATGTGTGCGGCATGTCCATGTGTCCACGCCTCCATGTAACTGTGTGTACCTGTGTCTAAGTGTACGTGTGCTGCGCTGTGCTTACTATCTGACTCTTTGTGACCCCATGGGCTGTTGCCCACCAGGCTCCTCTGTCCATGGGGATTCTCCAGACAAGAATACTGGAGGGGGTTGCATGCCCTCCTCCAGGGGATCTTCCCAACACAGGGATGGAACCCGGTTTCCCAAACCCAGGTCTCCCACATTGCAGGCAAATTCTTAACTGTCTGAGCCAGCAGGGAAACCCAAGAATACTGGAGTGGGTAGCCTATCCCTTCTCCAGCCAATCTTCATGACCCAGGAACCGAACCGGACTCTCCTGCTTTGCAGGCAGATTCTTCAGCAGCTGAGCTACCAGGGAAACCCAAGTGTATGTGTATATACATGTATAAGTTTGTGTATGAGTATATGCGTGTGTATAAATGTGTGTGTTGTGTATTGTGTATAAGTGTGTGTATACGTTTAATGAGCAGCTGTTCTGGGCAAGAGCCTCTGTTCCTGCTAATTCAGCCTTGAGGGCCCATCTCCCACAGCCAGGGTGACTAACAGCATCACAAGAAATTTCTTGCCCCACCCTGTGCCAACCTCCCACACCAGTGTGACCCTCTGGGGTTCTGCACAGCCCTCAGATTACATCACAGCCAGTGTTGATGCCGAAGTTACTGTCTTCCTAGAAGGGAGAGGCGGTCACCCTAGACGGAGGCCAGGGCTGTTTCCTCTAAATCACGGGATTCTGTGACCAGTCCTCGCCTGGGAAGGAGAAGGCCCTGTGCTGAAGGCAGCAAACCGTGCTATGCCGGCGCTCCCTGGGGCTCAACTGTGTCCTTCGGCTTTCGAGGAAATTCCATGCAATGGAAGTTGTTTTTTCCTTTCACTCTTTCTCTAGACATATTTTAATGGACATTAAGATGTACAATTTTATATGCTGCTTTAAAAAAAAATTGAAGTGTAGTTGACATATTCTATCATTTAGTTTCTGGTGTACCTGCTTTTTCTTTGATGTAACGTGACAGCTGCTTCAATGTTACTAGAAGCTCTTCAGAAACATTAGTTTTAATGGCTGCATAATACTAAAATAGCATTGTCATATCCCAACTAACCTCACTGTTCCTTACCATGAAATACTCAGGTCTTTTTCCCCCATTATAAATAAAACTGGGACAAACATCTTTATGCATCTTCCCCCCTGCATTTTGGATTAGACTTGAAACATTCGGGGTGGGGGTGAAGCTTTGTCACATGACAGTTAAAAATCCAAGGTCGGAAACATTTATTGCTGAGCAAAAAACCTGCATTCGTGTTGCACTCTGTCTGTATTTCTGTTTTCTCAGAAAAGTGTTATTTTACCTACTAACTGTGAACACACCTTATGATGGTCTCGTATTACATTTTTTGCTGCTTATAACAACTTTTATAATATCATTGTTTTGCAAGAATGGAAAGAAAATTCAATCTTTCCACTGAGAGATGAAATATTTCCTGCCATATCAGTAAACAAGGCTGTCAGAGTCATCAGTGACTACAGCCCTCCAATGTGAGCTGGTGAGCCTAAGGGCACTGGGGAAGGAGAAGAATACCCTCCATCAGCCTCCATCAGACTGCAGCCACTCCCTACCTGTGGTGAGCCCAAAGGAGCTCAGGATGTGAAAACACGGGACCCTGGCCTCAGATAGCTGAGATGCATTTATGAAAGGAATGACTTTTGTGAGCCCAGACTCTTGCAACTTCTATCCAGAGAAAAGTTTTAAATTCCTGAACTTGGGATGCTTGGTTTTCTTTAATTCACAAAAATATTTTGACCTTCAGATTACCTGCCGTTTGTTCCAAAACTTCTATATAACCTGACTCCTCGCCTCACCTCCTAGGAGCTGTTCTCTCAGGGTTTTTCAGATGCTACCTCCAGACTGAAACCCTAAAAATTTCCTCTAAGTAAAAGGTCACTCTCAACTTTTAGGTTGTGTGTATTTTTTCAATCAACATCACCATCATGAGACATGAAAATGATTAGTTACTAATTATAGTTACTGATTGTTTAGAAAACCCTCAGCTTTAAAATTCACTATTAGTAATGCCATATAAATTTTGAGAATTGTTTTCAAATCCAAGCAAATTCTATCAAGTATACATATGAACTGTATCATTTTCTGACATGCCAAGTTTTCTTATTTAGTAACTTATTTTATATGTTCATTTAACTGTACACAGTCACCAACCAGTTGTCACAGTGGATGTCCTTCTCCATCTGATTGAGTGTGCTGAGTTTCTGTGCAGACTTCCCTCACTGGGGAGGCAGCCTTCCTGGTAGTGTGGTCTCTTCTACCTATGTGGTTCCCCAGCCATCCTGCCCAAAAGTCCCAGTTCTCCAGTAGACACACATTGCTGACCCTGGGAGCCAGCTGTACCATTGGGTCCCTATCCAGCATACTGGGAACCTACAGGATGAACATTTCAGTCAAAACAAGCTGTAGGTAGTGAAGATCCCCACTCAAGATTACATAGAGGGCACTCCACCCCAGTGCAAAAATGTGAAGCTGGTTATTTTGTAGAAGGTTCTAATTTGTGGATTTAGCTGACTACTTCCTCCTCATGACGTTTGACTTATCTCTCCATGACAAAGGAAGACTAAAGCTTAGATTTGACTCTCATCCATCATTTAGCAAGAATGCGCATCCTGAAAATAAAAAATAAAAGTGAATTCTGCTTCTCTCTGGTCCCAAAAGCTATAGCCTGAAGCTTTTTCCCAAAAAGTAGCTTTTTGTTTTACCTGCTCTTGAACTCTGAGACATACTACTGTGTCAGTGGCTCCATGCTTTGGGAAATGCATAGACTACTAAAATGTCATAAAGGACATGGGCACCGGACACTTTGTTTTGCAAAGTAAGACCACTTAGGTACAATGACTACCAAATATTGTCACCAGTCTTTGACAAAAAATAAAAAATTTAATGTTATAATGTAAAAAAAAAATAGGTAAGTTAGAGTCTTAGAATAAGGGACATTTCTTTCCATTGAATTTCCATTGAATCTAGGTGTAAGGGAAAAAAACCATCCAGTGGTCCTTATTTTCTCCATGTCATGAGACTAGTGACCAGTTAGTCATGGGCAGTGTGGCTTTAAAATTCATTGTTTTGTTGGTCCAGAAGGCTTTGCTCTTTGCTACATAGAGAAGTACATGTAGAGCCCCACAGACTCCTCCCATGAAGTATTTTATAGCCATGTTGATTTTATCCCCTGAAAACTATAAAACTCACCTACTGTTCTCTAGGCAAGGCCAGGTTTTAGGAGGCACAGAAATTCTGGCTGCTCTGGAAAGAAGGTCACAGGATCTCAGCGTTGGGGGAAACCTGGAAGTCAGGAGGTGTGGCTAGGGCATGAGGCTGCCAGGAATGGCAAAGGTCAGTCAGTTTCTGCTCCAACAAGCCCCCGGGCTCAGGAACTGCAAAAGCTGGTGTTAATTCCTAAGTGTGCTAACACTTGTCATTTTTGTTCTCTTTTGCTGATGTATACAAATCTTGATTCATTGACCAAAATAGCCATTTAAACATATTTTTTTTTTTAAGTTATCACGCTGCTTGCTGACTTTCTATGTATCACGGGAGACCAGAGGACTGGAGCCAGGCCATCCTACATGCCTACCTCACTTCTCAGGAGCCTTTGGGGTTTGGAAGGACATTTTGTCTCTCTCTATAATAAAAACCTCTAGATTTCTACTGAATGTCATGAGCTTAAAATCCTAATTTGGAAGTTAAAGCCTGAATAGTTGACTTTTCCCTTACATTTCTCTTTTTAAAAAAAATTATTATTTTTATTGAAGGATAATTGCTTTACAGAATTTTACTGTTTTCTGCCACACCTCAACATGAATCAGCTATAGGTATACATCTATCCCCTCCCTTTAGAACCTCCCTCCCATCCCCTCCCCATCCCACCACTCTAGGTTGATACAGAGCCCCTGTTTGAGTTTCCTGAGCCACACAGCAAATTCCCACTGGCGCTCTGTTCTACACATGGTGATGTAAGTTTCCATGTTACCCTTTTCCATACATCTCACCCTCTCCTCCCCTCTCCCCGTGTCCTTAAGTCTATTCTCTATGTCTGTTTCTCCACTGCTGCCCTGTAAATAAATTCTTCAGTACCATTTTTCTAGATTCTGTATATGTACATTAGAATACAGTATTTATCTTTCCTTTTCTGACACATTTCACTCTGTATAATAGGCTCTAGGTTCATCCACCTCATCAGAACTAACTCAAATATGTTCCTTTTTATGGCTGAGTCTCATTCCATCGTGTGTATGTATCACAAGTTCTTTATCCATTCATCTGTCAATGGATATTTGGTTGCTTCCATGTTCTAGCTATTGTAAATAGTGCTGCAATGAACAGTGGGATACATGTGTCTTTTTCAATTTTGGTTTCTTCAAGGTATATGCCTAGGAGTGGGATTGCTGGGTCATATGGTGATTTTATTCCTAGTTTTTTAAGGAATCTCTATACCATCTTCTATAGTGACTGTATCAATTTACATTCCCACCAACAGTGCAAGAGTGTTCCCTTTTCTCCACACCCTCTCCAGCATTTATTGCTTGTAGAATTTTTGATGATAGCCATTCTGACCGGTGTGAGGTGATATCTCATTGTGGTTTTGATTTGCATTTCTCTAATAATGAGGGATGTTGAGCATCTTTTCACGTGTTTGTTAGCCATCTGTATGTCTTCTTTGGAGAAATGTCTGTTTAGGTCTTTCTCCCACTTTCTGATTGGGTTGTTTGTTTTCCTGGCATTGAGTTGAATGAGCTGCTTGTATATTTTGGAAATTAATCTTTTGTCAGTTGTTTCATTTGCTATTATTTTCTCCCATTCTGAGGGTTGTCTTTTCCCCTGCTTATAGTTTCCTTTGCTGTACAAAAGCTTTAAGTTTAATAAGATCCCACTTGTTAACTTTTGTTTTTATTTCCATTACTCTAGGAGGTGGGTCATAGAGGATCTTGATTTGATTTATGTCATCTAGTGTTCTGCCTTTGTTTTCCTCTAAGAATTTTAAAGTTTCTGGTCTTACATTTAGGGATTTAATCCATTTTGAATTTATCTTTGTGTATGGTGTTAGGAAGTGTTCTAATCTCATTCTTTTAATTGTAGCTGTCCAGTTTTCCCAGCACCATTTATTGAAGAGGCTCTCTTTGCCCCATTGTATATTCTTGCCTCCATTGTCAAAAATAAGGTA